GAGAAACTCTTCCAGTGCCAAGTCTGTGCCCGTGAGGTGGGAAAACACGTAGCAGTGAGCTGCTTCTCTGGGCATGTAGAGTCCTGCCTTTGCCTGGAAGGGAGAACGTGGAACGAGGCAGGAGCTATCGGTGGTGTCAGAACCGCAGGAGAGTGCTGCACAGCTGTGCTGTGCTGCTCTGCAAGTTCATGCTCTCCCAGAGAAGCACCGAGTGTCCTTCCAGAAGTACTAGCTGAAGCATTAGAAGAATGGCAGAGCTGTTCATTCTTCTTCTCTAAAGCTATTGATCATCCTTCCTCCAACCTAGGCATGTATCCTGAGGATGAATGGAACCTGCTCTACGTAGCAGTGACACGCGCAAAGAAGTATTTGCTAATGTCGAAGTCCGTGGAAGACCTTTTAGCATTGGCTGGGGTAAGTGAAATCTTTCCAAGCAAGTCCTCAAGCGAGGCAATTTGGGGCCCTGATACCTGTACTTTGTAGCACGCTGCACCAAAGCAAAGCATCGTCACGTGCGATCTGGCTGAGCAGCCCTGCCTGTGAGCTGCAGCAGTTCCTCAGCTGGTGTGTGAGCACTCCAGAGGCAGAGCAGACAGCCGGGGAGGGCAAACTCCCAGACACGCTGCTGTCTCGTTAGGATCTGAAGTCTCGAGGCAGCTCTGCAAGTGATGACATCTCGGGCAGGATGGGCAGCGGCCAATTTAAAAAGGCACCGAGAGGGGCAGCACCCACTACTCGTAAAATCTGCTCATCTCTGATTATTATGTTTGGAGGGGGTGCGTGTGGTAGAAAAGCATAAAAGAAGATTGTCATAAGATTCACCCTGATCCTAAGATTCATGCTGAGCCTGGACTATGCCCTGGCTTGTGCTGGCGTAGAATAGCTGAGGTCACATTTTTTTCCTCAGTTCACGCTGCTCTGCATCGTGATTTCGGTAGCAAGACACAAGGTTGCAGCAGGTTTTTTCCACAGTCCTTGCATTTGGGTGTTGTCTTCCACAGATCCTGACTTCATATCTCAGTGCGAGTGTGTAGGTTCCCTTTTCTTTGTCTGCAGTGGTTGCCAGCTCTTACTTTACTTCCTTCCTCGCGAGCTGCTGCTGGCTTCTGCTTAATTTTTGTTGTCACCAGGGATTTGGGGGTTTTTTTGTTGTTTTATTTTTTTAAAAAACCATCATGTTGCAAGTCACTTCCCAGGGGGTTGAAAAAAAATACGAAACAACCTGTTCCAGTATCTCAGCTCCCTCTGAGTGTTGTTGTTCCTTTTTTTCTTGCTTCTTAGGAGCGTTTCCTTCGGGTGGAGCTGATGAGTGAGGCTGCAAAGAACGGGGCCACCGTCGCTTGTTCTGTACCACTCTGTACGGAAACACTGCAGTCCGGCTCCTGGCTGGTGGTGAAGAAGCTCCCTTTGACTCATGTATGTCCCTTCCCTGGGCCTCTGAGATCGCGTTTCTGCATTGGGAGCCTTCACGAGCCGCTTGTCACTTGGGGGGTGGCTGTGCTCTGTGACTGTTCTGAGCTATCGCACCGGGGAGGGACAACCTCAGTGCTAAGCTTCAGTGGAAGTGAGCAGGGAACATCCCACAGCTGGACCTCACGCCCACAGCTCCCCAGCCCTTTGCTTCTGCTCGCAACCCCAGCTCATAACAGGGGGTGATTTCTCAACCGCCTGATTCAGGGTGGTGGTGCAGATCCACTCAAGCCTTCACCTCTCTTCTGAGACTAATTGTGGTCTCAGGTGGGGCTGGTTTTGGTGTTTTGTTGTGTCAGATCCCATTTCTGACTCTTAGAGCCTCTGTCGAGGCCATCAAACATCCATCTGGGGTCAGCAGAGCACCCTTCGCCCCTACCAGCCAGCTGGAAATGACAATCTGACTTTCGGGTCCAGTTTTGGCTTCAGTCCCACCTTCTGGCTTGGGGGTTGATCCTTGCCCAGATGGTGCAGTGAAGGCCAAGTTTCCCTAGCACTGGGATCTGCAAGCACGCAGTAAATCTGGTGGAGCTCCATGTCCACAACAAGAGATAGCAGATGGCTCTGAGCCATCAGCAGGGGACACGAGCACTGAGACGGGGAAAAGCCTCGTCCTTCACCAGCAAAGACCTGCACAGGGACATTTGGGTTGTTGCAGCTATTAAACAAGCTGTCCCGTAAGGGATTTCCTTGCAAGGGAGGTGGCAGGAGATGCTTTGGGTGCATCGTTGCTCTCTTCCCTGGATGTGAGGGGGTCGCGTCCAAGATTGGAAGCCTTCCTCCAGCCTTTCTTTTCTCTCACATCTCCTCTTTTTCTCCCACAGAGCAATGGCAGCAGGGATGCAGGCGGCTACCTTTGCCGCGCTTGCACGCAGCAGCGCTTTGGCTCTCTGACACCACTCACCTTTTTCCCAGCGCTTCAGGAATGGCCCGTCCAGCTCTAACGAAGCCCTCCAGCTCCCCAGAGCCCTGGCTGTGCCCCAGAACCGTCGTGGGTGCAGGACAATGCCTGTTGTCACATCCCAGCTCCAAAATCAGGTGAATATTGGAGCAGGATTTCAGACCAGCTCTGAGAGGAACACTCCAGGCTCTCTGCAAGGAGGTGTGAGACCTTTTCTCAAGCCCTGCCTTGCCCTCCAGGAGCTGGTCGGCATGGCCTGCATCGCTGCACAGAAGAATGTGCACTATACAAACTGTATTGGGCTGGACACGTTTTTTTATTTTGAGCATTACTACTCCATTACCTCTGTCACCAGGAAAACACCTCCAGTGACCAAACTGCCAGGATTTCCTTGCCTATTCCGTCATGTCTTGGTGAAATCCCTCTGATCCACCAGAAGAAGAGGAAATGTGATGCTGAAAAGTATCCAAAGAAAAACTTTATTCCTAGGAAATGGACTTTTTCCTGGAGCCTGTTTTAATGGGAAAAATTCCACTATCAGCTCTCAGAGGAAATTGTTAATCTCTCCCAGCTGAATTAATTTTCCTTACTGGTTTCCCAGACTGTGTCCCTTCTCCCTGCAGCAAACCATAAGGGAAGAAGAGAGGCAGTGTCTGAAGAACTGCTTTGGTTTGGTTTCGGTCTAACTCAGAGACAAACTGGAGAATGTTTTTAATGATGAAATTAAATTAAAAGAAGCCTTAATGCTTTCCTTTTTCTCTTCGACTTAAGAAGTCATCCTGGGTTGCATTTATTTACCAGCCATCACAGTAGCAATGGTGCAAGCAGCATGGTTATAAATCAGTCTTGTAAATCAGATGGTGTCTTCTCCATTTGAAGACACCGTGGCTCATTGGACCAAAGCCCGTGTCATGCAGAGACCGAAACCGAAACCGATTTCAGAAGAGATCTGCTCTTGGACATAGGCCCAGAGCTGTGAGCCATGCCTGCTGGAGGAAGCTCGTGCATCCTGTTGATTTCCATGGTTATTCATTGAATGGGAGCTGCTTCGCTGGCTTTTCTTTCGCTTTCGAAGCACCGACACCAGAAAAGCTTTCCCTGTTCCACTCACCTAAGTGTGGGCAGAAGTTCACCCAAGACTTGGACGTTGGATGTAACCGCAAAGCTCGGCGCGGACATTGGACCAGGCGCCTCCAGCGATCCCTTCCAGCCTCACCTGTTTTCCGACCGTCCCGTGGTACGTTGGGGAGAGGCAGTGCCGCTGCAGGAGGGTTTGGTCCATCACGCATCCAAAGCGCCGCTTCCTCCAGGTCCGATGGTCCAGAGCAGTGGCACAAACAGGAGGACAAAGGACAGCAGCGAGGAAAGGACGTGGAAATTAAGTTGTTAGATACCTACTGGTTTTCAGCTGACTGCTGAAAACCCCTTTGCCATCCAGCTGAGCCAAATGAACGATGGCAGCTGCCACCTTGCTGTCACCCTTTGCCTCTAGAGGACGGCACTGCCGGTGGCCGGCGAGCCCTGGCTGCTGCGGAGATGGACTTCTCAGCCCAGCTCCCGTCTGTCCCCGCTGTCCTCCCCACCATTGCGGCTGCCAAGGTGCCTGACCAGACAAAGAAATTAACTGCTCTGTGTGCATTATTTTATATACAATACATATACACATTTATATATAAAACAGCATCAATACAAAGCTGCCTGTTTCTGTAGCAAGGGGGAAACGAGTGGATAACAAAAGGGAAAACATGCAAAGGAAAATATTTCCTAGGTCGTGTTACTGCCTTCAGTCTTTGGTCTATAGTGAAATGGCTCCTGCTTGTGGTCCCCTGCGAGCGGCCGGAGCCGGCGGGCACCTGGGGTCGGCGCCGAAAGTGCCTCTGAAGGATCCCTGAGCTGCGTACTAGGACCGACCCCTGCGACCGCGGCGGGACGGCGCCAGCACCCTTCGCCGCAGTTGCAGGTTCACCAGCAAATGGCTGAAAGAGAGCAGGGAGGGGGTGAGGACGCAGTGGAAGGATGCTCAGCCGGGTCCCTCTCTCTTCGTCTGCCGCGAGCAGCGCTGCTTCCTGGTTTTTGGGGCAATTTTGGGGCAAAGCGGCTCTAGGGAAGGGGCTGGTGTCCAGCTGCCCCAACTCGCCTTGCTTCTGGCCAGGGGATGGGTGCTACTCGGTGCAGGGCAGCCCAGCTTCACCCCCAGCACCCAAACCCCATCCCCTGCACCCCAAATGCCCTCTGCTGGGGCAGGCAGCCCCCAGCCCGCTCCCTGCCGACCACCAGCACCCGCAGGACCACCTCCTCCGAATTTTGGCTCCCAACACAGGATGCCCACTGCCTCCACGCCACCCCAGGGTGCTCGCGGGGTTCACCCACCCCCCGTCCAGCTGCACGATGGGACACCCGCACACCTTTGGGTGCTGGAGCGGTCTTGTCCACGAGAGTCACTTGTTCAAGCTGCGCA